GACTTTTGAATCAAGAGTTCAAAATCACGGCTCCTTCCCTTTAAGAGTCTAGGAATCCCTGGGTGGCACAAACGGTTGTGTTCAACTACTAGCACAAAGGCTGGCAGTTCGAACCCACCCAGAGGTTCCTCAGAAGAAAGGCCTGGTGATGTGCTTCCAAAAGGTCACATCCTGGAAAACCCTAGGGAGCAATTCTACTCTGCACACATGGGGTCACTATGAGTTGTAATCAACTTGAAGGCAACTAACAACAACAAACCTAGAGTTAACATCTCTAGAACGTGTTATAAGATGAACATTTTTCAGAAATGCAGAGGCAGTTGGAAAAACATGAATAGAAAATTGCCCACTAATACAAGTCAGGAGCCCTGGCAGCGTAGTGGTTAAGAGCTCAGGCTGCTAACCAAAAGGTTGGTGGTCCAAATCCACCAGATGCTCCTTGGAAACTCTATGGGGCAGTTCTACGCTGTCATATAGGGTTACTATGAATTGGAATTGACTTGATGGCACACGACAACAACAACAATACAAATCAATCACCCTTATTATCTAGCCAGAAGAAAGGAGAAGTCTTTATTTACTCCTTCTATAAGAAGAGGTGGCATAATTCAAACCACTGTAACCCACTGGTTGTTGTTGGGTGCCCTAGTGTTGATTCTGACTCATAGTGACCCTATGTGACAGAGTAGAACTTCCCCATAGGGTTTCCTAGTCTGTAATCTTTACAGGAGCAGATTGCCAGATTCTTCCACAGAGCCACTGGGTGAGTTCGAACCACTAACCTTTTGGTTAGCAACTAAACGCTTAACTGTTTGGGCCACTAGGGCTTCTTGCAATCCATTTAGGGGTATGGGTTTTAAATAGTAGCTGCCTAGTACATACCAAACAATATGTCATAAGCTAATTATTCCTTTTCTCACTCTTTGGGTCCCAGAGAGCTAGAGCACGATAGGAAAACCATAATAACTTATACTTTTAGCACAGCCTTCTGGGAGTAGCATGGGGCTACTTGGCAGATTACTGCACTTGTTTTCCAAACGTGAAGGTAAATGTAGGATCTCAGGATTGATATCTCGGTCTTTTAGAGTGCATCTCACCTCTAGAATTCTAGCAATGAATGACAGAAATGAATACAGTGAAGCTGAGCTAATGGCAGAGCTTTGAGGGTTGTCAGAGAAATCGAAGTTAGAGGTAAGTCTTAATATAGACTGGATTTGTTTTTACGCCATGAATGTTTTTGTTGTTCTAGTACATGTGCCACTTATTAATGAGTCTCAACCTATTAAACTTTAAATATATAGAACTTTCCCCTAGAATGAAAGCCTGCTGAATTCAATTCATATTGATCTCTGCTTCACAGATGGAATGTAAAAAATATGATGAGAAAATTCTAAAGATCTATTTTTATTCCTCACTGCTACCTGTGGTTGGTTTACTTGATGATATACCACGCTCACCTCCAGGTTCTGACTTTGACTCTGTGAGATCAATGGTGAGAATTGGCAGACGATGTTCGCTGATTTGTAAGGAAGAAGTGATGCCACTTCAAGGAGCAGAACTTGGGGAAGTCAGGTGCAAAATCACCACACTTTAAAATGTAGTTTAGTGAAAACATGTAGCTGTGCAGAGAGGGTGCTGCGGCTCACTGATCCCTTTTCTATTTCTTTTTGTTTCAGTAGTTTTATTCTGCCCTGATTCCATGAGGGCATATGTCCCAATAAAGAACTGTTGTCAAAAGGTTCCTTATTCTCTGCTTATTTGATCACCTCAAAAGAATAAAAGAACAATAAAATAAATCACCAGTGTCAAAGTA